TTACATATTTAATATCTAAACTTGATTATTTATGCAAATCATACTTTAAAAAAATTACACCTAAACCCAATCTCTTGATTATATTAGGCTACATCGCTATTCGTTAGCGAGATCTTGTTACCCTTTACACAATGTTAGTTTTTTCATCCTGCTTCACATGCCACCGATCTATTCTTCTCTAGTGAGATCCCATTATCACCAACAAGCCCTTTCACAACTTCTCATTTACATGCATATCGTTGATCTCGTCGGTATATTTGATTTTGACCTCCCATGGTAATTAAGATCCGATCCTAGATCTTTTTTCCAACACGCCTTAGGAGTTCTTCTTCTCCTTCATGCATCACGATCCATCGTTGCCTTCGCTAGTGATCTCTTATCACGACTTTTCTCTTATACATCACTGGTCTCATCGCTATTTTAATTTGACAACGAGCTACGGTGGCCTATCTCTGACGGCTTCCTCATGTTCAATAAGATCGAATTGCTTTTAGTTGACTTTGTAATAGGGTGTATAAAAATTAAATTTATACGTTAAATATATAAAATTTAAATTATTGAATTTTAAGTGTTATATTCAAATCCACGTTAAAAAAAAACTTGCTATATAATGCAATTAAATTAAATTATTGAATGGTGTTTATAAAAACAAATATTAAATAGTAAAAATATATACATTTTTAATTTTTTACTAAAAAAATGAACCAGCTAACTATTTTAGATGAAATAAATATTTGATTAATCACCTAATTTAGATTAAACCCTATTATTGGTTGTGATTTTTTCTTTATTTATTTTGTATTTTTTAACCCATTACGGGCACCGTCCATTTTTTTTATCCGAGAAAAGCCAACGAGCTGGACTAGTGGACTCCAACAAAATCCCATCTGTTCTCACCGGACGGTGCCCATATTCGAATAATCATCCCACTTGCCGAATCTTTTCCTTAAAACGATAAGGGCATTTTCGGTAGTTTCACGGAAATCTATGGGTAATTTCCTATCGCGGGCTCGGATATAAAATTATAAATACAAGACCGGTAGTACAAGGAAACCACCTTATTGTCTGCCTCTCTTCCACTGTCGAAAGTAATTTCTGAGGACGGTGAAGGGAGAAGCTGAGAGAGAGAGAGAGAGAGAGAGAGAGCTAGGGCGCGCGGTGGATGGGAGGGGAGAAGGGATTGATGCTGTTCGGGGTGAGGATCGTCGATGGGAATAGAAGGTGGAGGCAGGAAGGAGTCGGAGATGGGAAGGACGACGATCCGGTGAGGCAGAGCATGCTGAAGAGCATGAGCATGGTCGATCTGGCTACGTGCGCTGTGACGGTGTCCGGAGAGAAAATAGCCGGCGATCATGGGTACTTGTCCGAAGGCGGGCTGGAACAAGCGTCGAGGAGGGGAGGACAAGAAAGAAAGCGAGGTGATTGGACGAATCCAACCCCTGTTCTCTCTTATTAATTTTTAATATTAGTATGTGATAAAAACGATTTAATGGGTGGCTGCGATATTAGGAACAATAATTCATTGTTTTTTTTATCCCTTTCTCCATTTACGTTTTCTGGTTTGTTCTTCGACTAGAATTATATAGAGATTTTTAGGTTTTTTTAATGATGTTTTTTGGATGAGATAGTTCTTTTATGGATTGGAGAGAATGTCTGGATAAATTTTATTTAGTATTTCTGCTTGTTATGTTTTTTTGGGTTATATGTGGAATGTGTTATCATTTGTTAATATAAGGTGTTGTTCTTTTATGGATTTATTTATTTATTTTTTTCGGCCAGTGGTGCTGTTTTTCATTGGAGGTTGTAAGTCTGCTCAATTTTTTTGTCCGCTAACGGGCAGTTTATTCGTGGTTATAATCAATGATTTGTTTCTTGCTCAGATTGACCTTAGATTGAAATCAACCAGCTAAATTTGGCCTGGGTTTGTGATGCACAATGGTTAGTTGGAGAGAATTGGAATGACTTGCCTTTTAAGTGAAGAAATGGAGGAAGGAAATTAAAACACATGTGAGTGAATTAAGAGGGTTAGTTGCTTGGGTTTGTGGGGTGAATATGTTTGGCGAAGACAGGGAATTATAATTAGGATTATTGAAGAATGTTTGGAATGGTGGTGTGGAAGTACTATGTGAAAACTTCTAGGGATGAAAATTAGGATTAGTTGAAGTGCAAACAGATAACACCATTGAATGGAAGGCCTCTTCGCCTCTTTGCATGCAAGGGAGAGGGTTTGGAGGATGGTTCTAGTGATGGGGAGGAAGAGAAAGAAATGAATTATTAAAACACTTAAACGTTGAAATAAAGAAAGACACAATACATTCAATCCTCACCCAAGGAGAGCATGGATCAACCACCAAGGCCCTTTTCATTTTTATTCCATAAGTATTAATATGTCTATTACAATAAAAAAGAACAATTTAAATTGAAAATAACCTAAAAGAGAGAAAGGTTAGCTGTTCTAGTGGAGGGGATTGAAGTGAGTCGTCTTCATTACAAAGGTGGTGGAGGGGTATGGTTGGCCTCATACCTTGGAGGGAACTTTAGTTCAACCACCCCAAACATTCCCAGATAACTAATTACCACTAATTTGAAATTTAAAATAGCATTAAAGTTTCATATTAAGCTCAAATCATAAAAATACAACTTTTAAACCATAGATTGGGATTTGGTTTGGCATATTGTAATTGACCTATACTCCACTTGACGTGCTGTATTAATTCCACTTAACTAAAAAAAAAACTCTTCTTTGAAGGGTTGAAGTAGTTATCTAAAAGTTTTTATGTAATTTTCACCAAGTCATCCCTTATCATCCATGTATCCTCAGTAGGTGGTTGATTTTTTTCACCTTACTAGCTAGCTAGAAACTTGTGTTTAGCATCATGTTATGTAGGCATTTCATCAATGATGATGGTTTCCACCTTAGAAAATGTAGGCACCTATAAGTGATGATTATGATCTCCTGCCAAAGAGTTAGTCTACAAATCTGGAGGTTGATAACTTCTTTATAAGGTAAAATATACTCTACATTAAAAATTAGGCTAATAAATAGATTAGATACCAAGTCAACAAAGTAAGTATTAAGTCAAACTATCCTAATAATTTTAAAAGATCCACATGCTTATGCTTATAATTTCTTAAATTTAGTAGAGATATATCTTTCATAATGAGTGCAAATCAAAAAATATCACCTTAATTATATTCCTTTGCAATTCTATTTTGATTTATTTTATTAGTATATTTGTTATTACTTCTTTCTAATTTTTGCTTACAACATTAAGAAGGCCATGAAAATCTTTTATAAAGCTAAATGATGAACATGAAAAGTATGAGATGAAATGTTTGCTATATTATTGGATCTTCTATGATTATTACCGTAAATTATTTCAAATGATGTTATTTTTTTATTTATTTATTTTGAAATAGTGATGTTGAAGGTAGATTTTGGAAGATGCAACTCTTTAGTCCCCTTAGATTTTCTTACTAAAAATCTAAGTAAAGTTTCTAGAGTTCTAATAACCATCTTAGTTTGCATGCCTACTGTTTGAGGATAAAAATAAATTGAATATTATATTTTTATCACTATTAATTACATAATTTTCTTTTTCAAAAATAAGAATTAAATTTTACATCCCTATTAAAAACCATTGCAAAGGACAAGTCATGTTATCTAATAGGCTCCTTAGAAGAATAACCTTATATATAATATAAAAGTCATCCTTTGTTTTGGAGTAAGATAAGGTATAGGCAAATACAATGCACTTAATTTTGTAATTTTTTTTTGAGTTAATTTTGTTATTTTACAATTGTAGCATTTTGTCACTACTCTTTCAATATTCCTTTTCAGCGAGGCTAATAAAATTTAACTTCGATCAAGTTTAAATTTTTGCTAAGTTGTTTTTGTTTTCCTACAATTATATCATTTTGTTACTATTCTTTCAACATTCTTCTTTAGTGAGGCTAATAAAATATATGTTCTATCCAATGTTTAAAATTGCGTATTCGGGTATTGAGGCGTTTTTCAGGCGAGGCGTAAGCCTCAAAATCAAAAGATTGCGTAAACATAAAATGATAAATTTGTTATATACTAATGAGTGAATAGTATAAAATATAAAAAATCATAAGATATGAAGTGAAATCAAAATATCTCAATAATAAGACAACATGAAATATAGTTCAACTCAAAATTCTATCTTTCTGAAATCCCAGTATTCTTTTCATTAACATATAATTCCGATTTCCAAAAATAAATAGCAATGACATATCGCATAAGAACTCATAAGTCATCAACACGGTCATCACTAAGGGTTCTTCATTTGAATCATCATTATAGTGAACTGCTCTCTCCCCTTCCTCCTCTCCTATAGAGTCCAATGTCGGGCATTTACTTCAAGATTTATGTAAGTTTTAATATATATATATATATATAGCGTGAGGCGAGACGGGCCTCAACCAAGTTGAGGCGCAAGCCTCATAAAAAAAACTCGAGGCATAAGCATCGAGGCGTTTTTTTACTGGAATTGCGCAAAGGCGCACGGGCCTCAAGACGAGCCTCATATTGCGCAATTTTAAACCATGATTCTATCAAGCTATCAGTCTTAGCCATTCCAAGATGTGTTGCCATCCCCTCAATTGTAACTTAAAAATAAGAAAAACTCTCATTAAAGATTTACGGCAACATAAATGTTTTCATCGATACTAATAACAACTCATGATCATGAAGTTCTCATTTGAACTAAAGGCTTATTTTCATGTTCATGATAACTAGCTGACGAGTAAGGAAAATTTGATAATCTTTAATGAGTCCATAAAGTTTTGGAATTTAAAGTAATTACCAATAATACTTTAAATAATGCATCACACTAGTTTTAAACTCTAATTAAAAAAGAATAATGTTGTAAGAATCCAACCCACTTACATGTCTGTGGTTTATTTTATTTTATTATTTTGTGTTTATAAACCTTAGAGAATGGTGGTTTGAGTTTAATATGAATTCCTAATGTAACAAATGATGTCCTTACAGTTTTGAAGTGCTATAGAATAATATTTATGAGTCCCATGAATGTGTTAGGTATTTTTGATAAAACAAAAAGCATCACCAGCCATTCATAATGGTCATATGGAATTTTAAAAATTTTATTTCATTCATTCCCATCTCTAATTAATTTTATGGTTTCTACTCTTAAAATCAATTTCAAAGAAGTAGATGGCATTAGAAGTTATCATATCATCCAATATAGGTATAAGAAATATATACATGGTAGTAATTTTATTGATAGCCATGCTGTCATCACACATTCTTTGTAAACTATTTATATAAGAGTTAGAAGAGATAGAACCACACATGCACAAAAAAAATTCTTTAAAAAAAAAAATCCTTAGTAGTACATCTACTTACTTTTTCATTTCAATATGTTATGTTTAATTCAACCTTTAACATGATTGCTCTCAATAATTGAGAGTTGGGAATAAAACCAATAACTTGTTGAATGCACTCAGTGGCAGTAGTTCATTAGGTGACAAATCACTAAATTCAAATAATATGTTTGAGACCATAATAGGTATGTGGATCTATCTCATATACTATATGCATACCTTTTTTCACATGGAGCAAATAAAGAGAAGTTAAATAAAAAGTTCTTGTTTTAAACTACAAAAACCTATCCTATATAATTTGAGATCTAATTCAAGCATGGGTATAATGGGTTCAAGGTTGAATATTAAAATTAGGCTTATGTGGTAAAGAAGATATATATATATTTTATTCTCACACACACACACATATATATGGTTAAAACCGCTGAGGGGCCTACACGTTAATATAATAAAAGGTTACAAGGCCCTTAAGAGGATCTCGAGCCACTACTGCTCAAAGAGCTACATTCAAGGAAAACAATAATTTTAATAACTTAAGGACCCCACTTTAATACAATGATAAAGGAAAACAAAAAAGTAAGAAGGAAGAATGCACCAAAGAAAAGGAGCCACGGCTAGAACCAAACAAGAGATTAAGGCATAACAATAGCACGACTGAAATCCCTGATACAACACATTGAGAGAAGCCAAAGCCAAAGGAGCCTCTAGTCCATCAAATTGAGAGAAACCAAGGACCTACAAAGAAATAACAAACTTCCAAATGAAAAGAAGCCCCACCAAAACACCCACCAAGACAACCACCCGACAACAACAGAAGGCAATAAAAATTGAGACCCAAAAACAAAAGGTAACATGAACGTCAACTAAGAACCAAAAGACAAAACAACCAGCAGCAAGAACCCTACAAAAAGAAAACCTAACAAAAGAGTAGACCAACCTACTTAACCTTAGATCTCATTGCTCAGGCACTATAAAACTTGAATTAATGAAGATTTTTATTTTTATTTTTCTTGCTTTTCTTGTCAGAGCCCACAAAATAGTGGAAAAATCAGCAAACAAACCACAAGTCTTACGATTATAAGAAGAGTAAAGGAGATTAAGAGACTTCCTTGAGAACAAGTCGGCATCTAGAAGGCTGACCATTGCAGCAGGAGAGTGCGGCTAGGGCACTAAAACATTCTCACGATCATCACTCTAATGTTGCACTATATATATTGACTATAATGCATTTCCTTTTTAACAAAAGTTAAAAGTCAACCTCATAAGATGTGGGCTATGCTAATGGGAAGGGAATTAAATATAACTATATATTCATAACTTCTTATTTTAATAAATAGCAAGCATTTACCTATGATAGGTAGGGATGTATGTTTACCCAATTATCATGAAAAGGCATATTATAATAAAAATTATTCGAAAATGTCTTCCTCCTGTTTTTCTTGTTCTTCTTCTAAAAAACATTAGTGTATTAAATTAATTATGCATCTTTCATTTCTTGTGTCACTTAAAATAATTAATGTGTAATTTTCTTAATACTCCCCACAATAGAAGTCGTAATGTTTATTTGTTAAATGTGAAAGGGGGCAGTAAAGGGATTATATTGTAGTTGAGAGCTTGAGGTGTATAATGATCTCCATATGTTTTAATGAGTAGTGCATAATTAAAAACATCCTCAAGTGTCTGTGAATCTTATAATTTCACATCTTCTTTAATTTCCATTCTTATACCAAAGACAGTTTTATTTGCTAATTGTCAATGATTGTCAAAGAAATTGGATCTAGCTACCAAATCGTCAATTCTATTCTTATACTTAGCAACTTTTAAAGTTCCTTGGTTTAAGGTCAACATGTTTCTTGTCATTAGCATCTTGGACAACACTTATACTTAAGCATTTCTTTCATTTCTACTAAGGTAAGATTAATTCTATCAAATCTTTCCTTACTTGCTAAAGTATTACACAATTAATTTTTTGCATGGCGCCTTCTGAGTTTAATTTTGGCCTAGGTAGTTTTTTGTTAGTCATTCATTGATTTTATATTATTCCATGAACTTATCGATTGCAGTACGAGTTTGTCTAAATTTTTTTTGGATTATGAATACTATTAAAGGTGGGTGCTTTGATCTTTACTCTCCTAGGCCCTAGCAAGTCATCAGAAAATTCAGCAATCCTATGATGATTATTTGTCCTATTTAAGTTTAAATGAATTGGAACTCTTCTTATGTGATTACCCTTGCTAGGATTTTGATAATCAACAATTGCTAAGTTATTGTGAATGATTGGAGTGGATTGTGAGTATAGGAGCTGTAATTATATGATAGGAAATACTTGAGTTCGCAAGTAACCCTATCAAATTGGTATCAGAGCAAGATCCGGGCGGTGGAGGGTGGTTTTTCTCCGAATTTCGCTGCAGATTTTTGCTGATTTTTGGAGGATCCGGAGGCATCTCGTCATTTCCCATGGCATCTAAGCGAGTAGAAGTCTTGGAGACCGAGATGGGGCAACTTAAGGCGGATCTGGATGAGAAGATGGCCACATTGAGCGAGAATGTGGAAGGGAAATTCGTGGTATTGGAGGAAATGATGAAGAAACTGTTAGAAGGGCAAGCAAGGGCGGTGCCGGGGGAGGAAAGAGGAGAAGGGAGTGGGTTTCCGCTAAACCTATCATTGTTTGCAATAAAATTTTTCCCCATATTTTGGTTAAGTTTTTTATATTAGTCAAAGAATATGACTTGGGAGGCTACCTATCATTGTTTCTTTTCATTTTTAAAGGTTGTGGAGGAGTTAGATCCCTATGCCTTGGATGAAACTTTGTTAAAACCACCTTAACATTAAATTTTAAATTTCATAATTGAAAATTACATCAAAGTTTGAAATTACTATTCAAATGATAAAATTATAGCTTCCAAACACCATGTTGGAATTTGGTTTGAGATCTTGTAATTTACAGACGCTCACTTGATATGTTGCATCAAATTGAGTCCTTCACATGATATATACATTTCTAGGACAAATGAATTAGCCTTGCCATGATTTGTGACATGCTAAATTTAAATCTTGGTACGGTTGAACTTTTTGATTTGGTAGGACAACAATTTTATAGCTTAAGTATTTGCTTGAGAAACTTCAAAAATCAATTTTGAAACCTTCTTAACTCAATTTTTGGCGAATTTATATAACTCTGTGATTTGATTAGATGGCTCCAACAAAATCTAAGTGAGCTTAAATAAAAACTTAAGAAATATAGTTAGAAAATTTTCTAAATTATTTGAGGGGTCAAGCATCCACCAAATTTCTATTTTTATAGTAAAAAAATATAGCATCTAGATGTGTTTGATGAGTCTATGATTACTCAATTTCAAGTTAATTAAGGCATCAAGATGTCCAAAAATATAAAATAATCAAGTGAAATGATTTTAATTGTTCGATGGATTGTTTGTTCATGATTCTTATAGAAATTATCTCAGTGTTGCCTCTATACATTGATCCATCTTTGAGATTTCTCCTATTTAGACTTCTCTGCATCTGATAATTGTTCGAACTTCCCTCCAAGTAGGAGGAAAACGTTCTGAAACCTAACTTTTGACCCTAATATTTGTCATTAGGTTCTACTGATGTTGTTATGAAATTTTTGGAGGAAGCTTGAGTTTCTTGGAAGAGAGAGATGGGAAAGGGAGGAGAGGGAGAGATGAGCTTAGACATGAATTATAAATTCTTTTTATTCAATGGCTCATTATAGGGTCATTCTAATACATTACATATGACCTCTATTTATAAAGATTTATATTGATATGATAACTTGCGAATCAACATAACCTAAAATATGATCAATTTCTAATAGATGCTAACAAGCTTAGTAGTCACTCATCCATTGTCGCCTTTCATGGATTGAATGGAAAATTATTATAACGTGTAACCTCCTCCATTATCTGTACACAATCGCTTGTTGATGTCAACAATCGTCATTGCATGCATGTCGTTTGACACATGTCTTAGTCGCTTGATTTTACATTCTCTCAAGAGAGCTACCAAGCTGATCACCACCCATTATGTCCCGACTTTCGACATTCCTTGTTGACCATTGCTCGCTCGCCAATGATTAAAGTCTGCATCTGCCATCACAAAATTTTTATTATCGTCCTACCAGTGACTTGGTCTATCCTTTTATTAAGAGAACGACAATGCCATTCACCCATCATCGTCCAACTTGAAAGGATCCATGTCAACTATCATCCAATGCTCATCCATCATTGACAACTCTTACAGCTTATGACTTATATCATCAAACATTATATTGTATTAATGGCTTCTCCTGTAATTAATGGAGAAGGGCGCTTTTTGTATTTCTTGACTAACGCTTTCTGAATTCTTTCAATTGGACTAGCATTCTGGTTTTTTCTTTTATTGAATTTTTCATGTAAAAAATATTGTATTTCGTGTATGCTGATCTCAAAATTTGTCAACAATGCTTATTTCTTTTCTCTTCTACGGTTATATTACTTGTGTGCTATTCTGATAATCTCCATCAGTTTTTTTTTAATTGTCTGATCATCATATATTTTTCTCCAACGTATTGAGTTCTTTTGTTTTATGTTAAGGAGTTCCATGGACTGAACAAGAGCATCGAACATTTTTAGCTGGATTAGAAAAGCTTGGGAAAGGTGACTGGAGGGGAATCTCAAGAAACTTTGTGATGACCAGAACTCCAACACAAGTAGCCAGCCATGCCCAGAAATATTTCCTTAGACAAAGCAACCCCAATAAGAAAAAGAGAAGATCCAGCCTTTTCGATGTTGTGATCAGCAAAAAAGTAAGTAATTCCAATAATCCATTTAGGCTTCGTTTGGGATGACTTTCTCACTGCTTTTTGAAGTAACTTTCTATTATAAAAAAATTAATTTTTGTACTAAAAAACTGCTTTAAGAAGCTCTTACTGTTTCATAAAACAGCTTTCAAGCTGCTTTAAGAAGCAGAAAAAAAACCATCTCAAACGAATCCTTAGACTTAGTTTGGGACGGCTTTTTTATTGCTTTCTAAAACGGAGTTTTAGCGCAAAATTTTTTAATTTTGCACTAAAACTCCATTTTAGAAAGCAATAAAAAAGTCGTCTCAAACGAAACCTTAATCTTAACTTGGCAGCAGATTGCTTTTCTTTTGCTTGACAAACATAATTTCTTTGAAGATCAACAACTCCGGGAATTTCCCAACATCATTGTTGAAGAAATCTGATGATAATTTCAAGAATTTTGACAGTCTAAACCAAGATGGTCATCCTGTAAGTGCAAGTGCTTCTCATAAATGTACTAATTCTGAGATAAATTCCTTGTGTGAATTTATAAGACGATAAGAATTAAATTACTGCAGGTTGGGCTTTCATCCTTCACCACAATCCAATCGCCCGCAGCAAGTTGTAGTAACACCCCAATTTTCCACAAAATAAACTCAACTGTAAGCTTCCACATTGCTCTCTTTGCCTTCAACTATTAGAAAAATCACATAAAAGTAAATAATGTTCTAGTTTTAAACAGGAATTATCAGCCACGAACACAAGGTCAACAGCTTCAGATCAAACAGATCCTTCTATCTTCAAATTAAGTACACCTATTCGCCCACAAGAAACATCGGCGAAGTCTTCAACGATTGACAACAATGATCTAGAGCTCACCATCGCGCCGCCTCAATCTCATCACAGCCTAGCTAAGTTTTCCTCAGGCATTATTAGAGTTATTTAATTAGGTGCTTCCTTCCAACTCTGTTGTTACTGTTAGAGATATTCATAGGAATTAATCTCTAATTTTTGTAAATGAAGAAATGTTTTATTTGCAACAAAGGATTTTATAAACTTGTTTTCTTTTTTTCTTAATTCTGCCTTTTCAAACGACGTCAAGAAACCAATAAAAATGCACCACGTCGCCCTTTTACTGTACCGGTACTCGGTACCGGTACTGACGCTCGGTACTGCTGGGTACCGCAGCATCCGGATGTTGACTTGTGTCCGGCGTCCGCACAGAATAATTTCTCCTCTATCGGTGAGAACTTTGCTCGCTCGTTAGCATTTTAAGCAAGAGTGATGGAAGATGGTTGCTGTGTGGTTCTATTTGCATGTGCTGTTAAGATTGGCTTTTGGTGTTTCCTGGAAAATATTCATGGGATGGTGCATGTGGGTTGAAGTGGTCCATCCCAACAATGACTTCCTACTATTTTAGGTGGCAAGTGTATGAGTAGCTATCAAAACTTTTTTAACTTAGAACTAGTTGATGATTGATTCATGGAACCTAGCTCTAGTTTATATTAAAAAATTATTTTAAGAAATAATAAGAAATACAACTCAAATAAAGTCTAAACTTATATTTTCTTATGAATAATTGTTATATTATTCCTGTACCATTTCCTTAGTATTCTTACAAGGAGTAGTTATCATATTGGTTTATTTGATTTGGACATCACACATTTTTAATCAAATAATTAATCATTCTATTGGTTATGTTGAATCTCACTTGAGGCCTAACTAATATTGGATTAATTATTTTGTGCGGATACTGAACATTGTCTGGAGACCAAACAGAATGCGCAGCGCTATCGAACAATACCGAGCGAAGGGGTAATGTATTTGACAAGTTTCATTATGGAGGAAGTTAATGATGATCTTTATTATATGAATTTGAGAAGTATCTAAACTTTAATATTATTATGCATATATATATATATATATATATGGTTAAAACCCACCAGTAGGGGCCTACACATTAATAACAAAAATCGGTTACATCGTCCTTAAAAGGTTCCTCCAGCTCACTAATGCTCGAACGAGCTACAAGATAAAAAGATAAAAACAAAAACCTAGCTACAAGCCGGTGGATCATTTCCCTAAGAGTACAATCAAAACTGAAATAAATATACGGGCTATGAGTAGACAGCATCCAAAAAAGGAGAAACGAAATATTCCCATTCAGCACAGCTCTCCTGCAAAAAAGACTACGAAAGACAAAAAAGAAATGGAAAAAACAGGTAAAGTATACCTTGCGGACAGTCGAGCTTTGATCAAGAACCTTGATAAGAAACCTACAAGGAATACTCCAAAAAATGATAAGATTATCACAGAAATTAGCAAAAACTTTAAGCCCCTCAATATTAGGACAGTCGAGCTCTGATCAATAAACTTGATAAGAAACCTACAAGGAATACTCCAAAAAATGATAAGATTACCACAGAAATTAGAAAAAGCTTTAAGCCCCTCAATATTATAATTACTCCAGGAATTTTTCCAATCAAATAACCCCATCAAAGCATTCATCAGGCACACCCTCTTCCCCTTCGTAACATAGAAAGGACCATACAGCTTGGCATCATATTGATGCCACCAGAAACCAGAATTACCCATAATACTCAAACTAAAATGCATACCATAGCTCAGAATATACCCATCAATACTATTCAACCAGGAAATACCAAATAAATGCTCACCCAGAAACTGCAACAGACGCCCCCATTTATTAGCAAGGAAGCACATAACCATAATAGTGACAAACCAGCAGGTAAATACCAACCCCGGAAAAGAAAACAAACAACCCCAACAGCAGCATCAAAGAGAAAACATAGCCAACAGAACAAACCCAGCAGCAAAA